CTACCATTCCCAGCTTGGTGTATTTTCTAACTCAGGTCGTTCTGAAATGGTGAGGTGAGCCAAGGAGGTCTGCTAACACCTCTCTGATACAGTAATGCTCAGGGCCAAAGCCACATCCTATCATAAAGAATCCAGTTCTCAACAATTTTTATCTTCAACAAAAACTAAGTACTTTCCTTTCTCACCCTGCTGTGTAGAAATGCAGGTGGCTGCTTTTCCTACTATCATAAAATTGTACTATATGAACTGTGATGTTTAACATGATCTTATGCATCTTGGCAACACAAGAAGGGGGTGATCAGAAACAAAGAAAATATTGAACTTGTCAGGAAATATCTTCAGGACAGAGACTGCAAAGCAGAACTTTTGATCTGATTCAGCAGGTCAGCTCAATTGAGATCATCAAACTGTGCAAACATGAGCTTTCTGAAAGACAAAAGGAATTCCTCAAGTAATCAACCCTTTCTCACTGGTCAGGTTTAACATCTACTCCAAATCTCTTAACCTGAACAAACAATGACTCTGGGTGTTCTGCTCCATGTTTTCATGAGAGCAAAGTCTCCTGTGCAGTGTGACTCAACGGTAGGTCATGTAACAACTCTGTTGTTATTTAGAAGTTACATCACATTTTATATGTCATGTGCCCTCCAATCATTTTTACTAGTCACACAACTAGTAAAACACACCAACCTGACATTCTTAAAGATCGTTGTTTCTCTTTAACAGACGCATGAACAGGTCAAGTGATTTACCCAAGGTCATACTTCATGTTTCTTCAGATCAAACAGAAGGATTGAGAGAGTTGGGAGAGACAGCACCACATGGAGGTCCTAGTTCCTCTCTAGTTGAAAAAAAGGTAGTTTGAGTAGCATACGCAAATTATGCTTCCTCTGCTAGACCAAAAAAGAAATCTCCAATAATCTTCTCTGCTTAAAGAAAAACCAGGGGAAAACCTGGCCTCTCATTAACGCTTCTCTAGTACTTTTGCTAATATAATTCCAAATCCTGAGCTATAGATAAAAGAAACATCTGTAATCCCAGCACTTGAGAATTTGACCAAAAAAAAAAAAAAATCACTAGTTCAAAGTCAGCCTGGCTACATAGTTGAGACTGTCTCAAAAAACCTGAAGGGTGAGGAAGAGAAGATAGAAGAAAGGACATAGCAGGATGGCTATGAAACTCAGACCCCAAGCATACTGTAACTTACCCTAGGACTCTCAAGTGCCTCTGTACACATGATTCTTTTCTGTTTAACCTGAGATTAGAGCCAAACTCCATGTGATTTTATCATCAGAGGCTAGGCTCACATAGTGCCTCTGGGAAGGCATTCCCTATGGTCCATTGGGATTCTCATACCCATGAGTGTACACGACGTGCGAGCATGTCTCTTGTCTAGTAGTGTACAGTGGTAGCAAGGCTATATATTTTACAAACACTCTTTTTAAGATATCTCTGAAAGGGTCCAACTGTATTGCCAGGTGGTGGTGGTGCATGCCTTTAATTCCAGCAGAGGCAGGCACTGATCTCTGTGAGTTCAAGGCCAGCCTGGTCGAGAGAGTGAATTCCAGGATAGCCAGACAGTTGCACAGAGAAACCCTGACTTGAAAAAACAAAACAAAAGATATCTCTGAAATGGGTATTCAGGAGCAGCTAAAACAAAAATAAAAACAAAAACAAAAAAACCGTAAGAAATCGACAAGGTGGAGTCTGGAGGAGATGGTTTAGTAGATTCAAATCATTTGCTATGTAAGCTTGAAGACCTGAGGACCTGACTTAGAATCCCTAGCATGGACATAAAAACCTATAAAATGTGAGATTATATTGTGGGATGAAGACAAGGGGCTCCTGAAAGCTCACTTGCTGGCCAGGTAGCCAAACAGGGCTTCTAGTTTAATAAGAGGCAATTTAGGAGGAGGAAGATAGAGGAAGACACTAGAGTCTTATTCTGGCCTCCACACCCATATGATCAAGAACATGCAGTTACATATTCACATGCATGCATCACCCCTCACACACACACACACACACGTGCACACACACACAGGGGGGAAGCAGGGGCTCTTTCTGAAAGGAACTGCCTTTCTTTAGCATATTTGGCACAGTGCTCATGGCAGTCACAGCCATGCAGGTGTGCTCTGGCTTGTCAGGCCAAAGATGGGTATCACTCTCCCATAGAACCTACTTCACGGAGTGAAAACATTGGCAGCAAGTTGGCACAATGGATCAAAGTAATGGTGAAGGCCCTTCTCCCTGTCTGCACTCTGCTCCCAGATAGTATACATTTTATGAGAAAGAAAAAGACTTCAATGTTAGTGTGGTAGGGGAGGAAAGAGTCTTTGCAATGAAGAGGGTAAAGAAAAAAAGCTCCAACTTTTCCATTCTACTCTGGGCCCACATTGTAAACAGATAGTTTTTCCACATTCAACAATAATAATCCCTTTATCTAGACAGTTTGAAACTTTGGGTAGAAAGAAGGGAAGGTGAGTAGGTGGAAAAGAGTGAAAAATGGAAGGAAGAAAGCACAGAGCAATAAAAAGGAGGGTGGAGTGAGACAGATGGCTTAACGAAACTAAAGGGGCTAATGACTTCTGATACTCTGCTACCAATATTGCTGCCTAAGGCTAGGCAGCTGCTAGGGCAGCTTCCCAGAGGAAATCCTGGGAGAGGCAGGTTGCAGTGGTGTCCTAGGTACTCCAGGTTCTGTTCCTGGCCATACCATTAGTTACAAGACCTCAGGCAAATATACAACCTCTGAAATATGGCTGAGTTCACCATTTTTTCTAATTCTTACAGTTGTCCTATCCAAGTATATACTTACTGAGAAGCATTTGCTCTAGACTAACTGTGGGGAAATGGGGCCAGGGGGATACAAAACTTCTATAAAGAACCAAATCTTTTGTTTGTCTGTCTGACACAGGGTCTAACGCTGCAGCCCAGGGTGGCCTTAAACTCATGGATAATCCTCCTGCCTCAATCTTCTAAATGTTGGGACTATAGGCAAACAGCCAAATTGTTTATCCATTGGTTTTTACTATACCTATTTAACCTTCTGCCATTATAGCAGAAAAGTAGGCATAGACAATATATTCAAGAATGAGCATGCCATGTGCCACTCAAATCTTACTTATGGACACTGAAATTTGAATTTTGAATTTCACATAATTTCTATATGTCACAAAACACTAATTTTCTGCCTTTTTTTAACAAGTTAAAAATATAGTTAGCTATATAGTTAGTTAGTTAGTTAGTTAGTTAGTTAGTTAGTTAGTTAGTTAGTTAGCTAGCATGAAGGTTATGCAAAACTGGTAGCAAGTCAGGCATGGTAGTATATACCTGTAATCCCAACACTAAGGAGGAGTTAGAGGAAGGAGGACCTGAAACTCAAAGCCAACTGGCATTATAGCATTATATCAAAATTTCCAGACTAGCTCTGGCTACATAGCGGTAGGAGGGGGTTTAGCATGGAGGTCACAGTTTGCTAGCTTCTGCTCTAGAGTTAAGAATAGTAAGCATGACAGCTTTTATACTTTGTTTCTGTACCTATCACTTCTAGCCTGGTATAGTCTGGTCTTGTTTTCCCTTTTATACAAGAATGATCCCACTCAATGCTACCAGGGATTGTACTTCCTCATGGCTAGGAAAGAAAGCTATGGCCCAAAACAGGGCAGGAGGGGAAACAAAAAAGGAAGTATGTGCATGACATGGAAGGCTATAATGAGACAACAGAATCAATAACTGTTTCAACAATTCAGAATAATGCTAAAAGAAAATGAACCTGCTCTATCTTCAATAGGTATGGGTGAGAGGGTAATAGGAATGATAAGTAATGGAAGAGAGCACTGAGTTATGACAAGTCCATAGCCACACATAATGGGCCTCATCACCACTAAAGTCCCCTTCTAGATCTGCTCTGTGATCCCCCTCCACGTAGCAAATCCAAAAAAACTGCCATCAAGGTTTTTCTAAAGAACTCTGGCAAGAATTCCATTATTGTTGAACATCAATGGTCATACCAGGACTCACAGATGGAGAGACGGTTCTGGCATGCCATTCAATGGCAAGCTGAGCACATCCAAAAATGTGTTTTCTGGAAAGGATGTCAGGTCTGTATTACACAAAGTGAAGTGATAAGGGACTTTAGAGTACTGTCAACACATCAAGGATCAACAAATTCAAAATGGCTCACTCCTACATTTTCAGCCTCTCTCCAGCTTATTTATTTATTTATTCCCAATAAAAAAAGCTCTCAAGAGTCATGAAAGTACAGGTTGAGGAACCAGAAGTGACATTCCAGGTCATTTAGGTCAACTGCTTCATTTAACACATGAAGAAACGGAGCAGTTTCTTAACTGGGACAGTTAAGTAGCTTTGCCCAAAATTACAGTGTTAGTGATCGGTTACAAGGCCCTATTTTCACTAAGATATAGTATCTCAAGTATGTACCTGGGCTGAGAATAAGCATAGAAAAACAATTAAAAAAAAAAAAAAGTGAGCATCATTAAGTGTTTTACTATGCCACATTCCTACTTTTACAACTTTCTGTGAGGTGAGTACTGTTAACCCACTCTGAAGCTGAGGAAGGCAGAAATTCACAGTAACAGAGTGATTTCCTCAGGGTCATAGGCAGTAATAGGAATGGGCAGTAATAGGAACATAGACAGTCTAACTCCATCCAGTTTATTCCCTTCCCTGTATACCATATACCTGGATCCTAGGCTTCTCTCTTGCCAGAAGATGCCAACAGCTAGGGGAAAGGGAGACGATGTAATCACAGGTTCCCTCATCTCTCTCTATTGGCTCATTAGGCTCTAAAACCTGGCTTCCTGCTATGCATACCAGACTTTTTTTTAAAGACAAACAAAAACAAAACAAAACAAAACAAAACAAAAACCCTTTTCTTGAACTGCCTGACAAAAAACAAGTCTCTTACTCCAGACTCCAGGAGAAACCCTGGTATAAAGTCTTCCCCTCCCACACACAGAAGGCAGGTCTGAACTTACCAGAGGCTAATCCATCTCCGAAGGCTAATCCATCTCCCAGCAGGGTGCTAAGGATCACCAGTTGAAGGAACATTCCATGCCCCACGGAGGTCACAACAAACGCTGAGCTGCTCTTTGGTGCTATCCTGCCATGGCACATCTTTTATCCGTCCGAGGTTTTTATTTATTTATTTTATTTCTTTTTTTTCTTTTTTTTTTTTTAAGAATGACTTTAAAATCCAGAGGAATCCTAAGGTCAGCCAGGGGTAGTGTCACCTATAACAAACAAACAAAAAATACTTAAGTGAAAATTTCAGCCATAAATTGATCAGAATCAACAAGCACTCTGCAAGGAAGCCACAGTCACACACAAAGTTGGAAGAATTCTAACAACTGAATCCTTACTGCCAAGAGAAGAGACAAGCACAGAAGTGGTTTTCAGCTCCTTCTGGGGAGTTGCCAAAGCTTGCTGCCAGTTGTTGTCAAAATCTAATCCAGTAGCCAAACCCTAGCAAAAAGGGTAGGGACAGTCCCAGCTCACTTGGCTATCACTTGCATAGCCAGCCAGGTCAGTGTTGCTTCAGAAACTGCCTGCTCTGCCAGGACCACTGTCCTATGGGCTCCAGCAGAAATCAGCTGTTGACACAGAGCTGCTACGCCTATGTCACTTGGCCTCAAAGCAACTTCAACTAACCAAAAGGAAAAACAGAGTGAGCACATGTCTTAAAGGAATAACTACACCGCCTAGAGAAGGAATGCAGCAGCAGGAGCCAAAGCCACAGCAGCCTAACCTATCAGAGGCTGAGGATCTGACTCTGACAGCCATGAATCTCAAAACTAGTCAAGGCTCAACCCACACAACTGTGACCACAGGGGTGACATTCTATTGACTATCCTTGACACTATTGGGGATGTGGAAGATAGGTTATAGTTATTAATTGGCACCATCACCCATTCTGGTTCAGGTTGACTTCTGAAGAGAGGAAATAAATATTAAAAAAACAAAAAAACAAAAAAACAAAGCTAGTGTGTTGGCACACACCTTTAATTCCAGTGTTCTGGAGGAAGTGGCAAGGAGATCTGTGAGCAAACCTGGTCTACACAGAGAATTCCAGATCAACCAGGACTACAGTGAGACCTGGTCTCAAACAAACAAATAAAACCAGCCAGTAGTCAACAATTTAAAGATTATTTTCTAAATGTCTTTAGAGAGAATGTTCAGTTGCTGACACATTATAAAGCGGGCCTACTTTATTCAGTTAATTATTTACCAGTTACTCGTATATTCTAGTTTATAGAGGGTATTCAAAATGACATGCTTTAAATTTTTTTCTATGCATTCAGCTGGGCATGGGGGCACATGCCTTTAATCCCAGCACTCAGGGAGGCAGAGGCAGGTGGATCGCTGTGAGTTTGAGGCCAGCCTGGTCTGCACAGCGAATCCAGGATAGACAAGGCTACACAGAGAAACTCTTGTCTTCAAAACCCAAAAAACAAACAAACAAAAATCTGTGCAGTCAACATAAAGCTTTACAGACACAGATTAGAGGGCCTGCTATCTACTACCCTAATAAAGGACTCCTACACCTGTCCAAAATGTTAACTAGGCGCAACTTTAATATGTCTGAAGTCTTGATTCAAACCTATGTCTCCTCCCAGAGAAGACTATTGCAAGCTGTAACATAAGTTCTCAGCAGAAAGAGAACGGTTATGAGAATCTTCATTAAACATTAGCTAGGGATCAAGTACAGAGTTAGCAACCGGTCTTCACCTCTTTCTCCCTGGAACTTGTGACAACAGCATCTTTGGTCCTTAGCTTTTACTCACACTTGAACTTTTAAAGCTGTAGACAGAGTAGCTCATGGAGAAGTCTGTATATCTATGCATCTGTAGAGAGTGTTCACATTTATATGGCTGCAAATGGGAGAGTCAGAATGCCTATATTCAAATATTTGCTCCCGTGGCTCTCAGCCCAGTTTCCTCTCTGTGAAAGGTTTGACTCAAGCAAAGTGCCCAGCCCTATTTAACTCTTCAATAACCTTATTATCATTGCTGTTACAGTCACTAATAAAATCTGAGCATGGATCTTTAAGATGCTTTTCTTTAAGATAAAGGCGGGCAGTGGGAAGGAGTAGTCCAAAGTCAAAGAGGTTAAAGGATATGCCAGGTTACTTAAAAAAAAAAAAAAAAAAAAAGCCCTAGCTGGCTAATGACAGATTAACAATGAGCCTTGCGGGTGCTACCATTTCAGTGTATTCACACTAGATAACCCTATGAAGCATTCTTTAGTCATCTCTTCAAGGCAACAACTGGGAACCATCAAGAATGCCATCTGCATGTGCCATATCACAGCACGTGCACAGTACATAATTAAGTGGTGAGTATATGAAAGGTAGTGCTTTAGGTGTTCTGCACGTGAGTATCAGGAGTGAAACAATACTACCTGGAGGAGGTGATGCCACTGAGTCCTAAATGATGGGTAATATATAGAAGGCTTGGGCTGTAGAGGAAGTGGAAAGGAATTACCATATACAGGTGAATCAAGAATATTCCTAGCAGAGGTTCAGAAGAAAGTTAAGCCAAGGAGTTGAAATTCTACTTGAAAAGCAGGGAATACTGACAAAGATAGAGTAAAGAGTTCTAAAAGCAATCTAAATTTTTTTTATTGTTCTACCTCCTAGCCAGGTAGGACTAGTGGAAAGAGAACAACAACCCACCGACAAAACCTGTGATTCAAAACTTACCCTGCCTACAAGAAGTACAAGGATAATGAAGGAACAAAGATTGAGGGAAAGTCCAACCAATAATTGGCCCATCCTGAGACCCACGGTAGACAGCCTGCCCCTGACACTAATGATACTCTGTTATGCTTGCAGACAGGAGCCTAACTTGACTGTAGTCTGGGAGGCTCCAGTCAGCAGCTGGGACTTGAACCCAAGAATGGGGCGGAGCTCTGAAGGTCCTGTGGGGGAAAGATGAAGGGACCTGGAGGAGACAGGAACTTCACAAGAAGGCCAACAGAGACAACTAATCCAGTCCCATGGGGGCTTTCAGAGACTGAGACATCAACTAAGGAGCATGCATGGTCTGGACCTAGGCCCTCCTGCACATATATGGCCAATGGGCGGCTTGGTCTTCATATGGGGCACTTGGGGGGGGGGGGGGGGGGGGGGCGTTTCTAACATGGACTCTATTGCCTACTTTTGGATCACTTCCCCCCTGGCAGGGCTGCCTTGCCTGGCCTCAGGGGATGAGGATATGGTAGGTCCTGATGTGACTTGATGAGCTGGGGAAGACTGATGGAGGGGACACTCCTTTTCTGGGAGAAAAGGGAAAGAGGGAAGGGGGAAGGAGAAAGAAGGAGGGAGGGGGTACCCTTGGGATGTAAAATAAATTAATTAAAAAAAGAAAAATAAATTTTAAAATTTTTTATTGCTTTAAAAAATTATGTGTACACGTGTTTATCTGCCACCTTCTGAAAGAACAACATGTGCACTCTTAACCACTAAGTCATCTCTCTAGACTCATGAGACCAATCTTTTAAGACTACTCTGGATGGGATTTTAAAGAATTGGTGAAGACAGATGACAATCATTTTGTATTTTATATATAATGCCTTTAGAGGGCAACTTAATGTGGGTCCAAAAAAGTGCATATTCTCTCACCTACTGATTCTAATTCTAGATCTGTCCTCAGCAATCACTTGTGCAATAACATACACACATGTAGAACACTCAGAACATTGTTTCAAAAAAAAAAGAATGGAGTAATCTAAATCTAAAAGTTAATAAGGAGGCTGGCTAAATTAGTTATAGTACACTCAATAACACTGTTCAATTGCTTAACAATAGAGCATTCCAATATTTATTAATCTGAAATGGCTTCTAAAATTAATATCTGAATAAAATTTGAATGCATACTTGCATTTAATTAATTCATTTATTTTAGTTTTTTTTTTGGGGGGGGTGGAGACAGGGTTTCTCTGTTATAGCTTTGGCTGTCCTGGACTTGCTTTGTAGACTAGGCTGGCTTCGAACTCCTGTACAGAGATCTGCCTGCCTCTGCCTCCCTGAGTGCTGGAATTACAGGTGTGTACCACCACACCCAGCTTTATTTTAGCTTTCTAACATGCAGTCTGTGTAGCCCAGACTGGTTTTGACCTTGCTAGGTAGTCCAGGCTGGCTTCAAACTCTTCATCCTGCTGCTTAATGCTTGAGAAAGTAGCAGCAGGTGGAGCAATCACGAAACAGTAGGTACCCTATTCTCTAGGTAGACCGTACATATCATCTTAGCTCATTTGCCTACATGTCTTAGAGAACACCCCTGCAAAGAATGCCACAGTACTGCTGAAGGTGTGGGGTTATGGCATACTGAGGTCTCCTCTCTGGAGTCAAAAATGCCTGACTCAGTAGGCCCTGACTCCCAGGTTCTGAAATATTAGCTTCAGTACACATATAATATTTAGGACAAGATATTCAATAAACCATAATTCATCCATTTATTAGAAAAGCTAACTGAGAAGAAAAAAACAATTTGAAACCTTTTCTTGTCTCAGGCTAAAAGAGAAAGGGGTGGAGGGAGTGTCAGAGAGTCTAGAACAAGACAGTGTATCCCTTTGACCAACCATCTACACACCAACCCTCTTCACTGCTACATGGTAGGAAAGGACAAAGACCATTTCCTGAAGTATGAACAGAAGGTAAGCAGCTGATTACATTTCAGAATGTAATGATGGTTAGTCCAAAGTCCCCAGAGGAAAGTAACTAAAAAGGGACTCCCCAGGCCCTGCCTCATTTCTCACCTTCGTAGAAGGGATTGTAGCATTTTCCCTTTTACTGCCTTTCACCTTCAAGTCATCAGGACCTCCTACCATACATGAGGTTTTGTAGATACCTGCTATTTCTTCTTCCTGTCAATCTTTCCAATCACTAACTTCTATTTCCACCGAGTTTCAACAGCCACATTTTCTTCTATTGAGATTTGACGAACATTTGGCAGAATATTACGTTACCTATTTCAAAGCAGGACAGAGCAGGGCGGCAGAGGGGAAGGGAGGAAAGAAAGGGGTAAAGAGGAAGGCTAGTAATCCAGGCTGCCCTTGAACTTGCAATCCTCTTGCATCAGCTTCTCAAATGCTGGGATTATAGCTATGTTCTGGGTAAAAAAACGAACTTGTTGAAATTTAATCTCATTATACAAATTACCCTCATCTTTCCTCTTAAGCCACCTAAAAGTTACTGGAACATGCCAGAGATTTTCTTGAGTTGATATCTGAT